AGGTGGGGGCCGAGCCTGCTGCGCGTCAGCCCCACTCTGGGCTCCAGGAGCCTGCCTTGAGTGAGAGGGGGCCTGGCCATCGGAGCTCACACCTCTGGGTGGGAAAACAGGCCAAACGAGCAATAATTGCTCAGACATGAGAATGGTCGTGAGTGCTGTAAAGAGAGTAGAGGGGCTGCAAAGACAGAAGGGCCCGAGCTGGGGACGGGGCTGAGTCATCCCGGAGGAGGTGGCATTGAGACTTATGCCAACATGTGGTGCGGATGGAGCATGTCAGCCAGAGAGAACAGGTCGGGGAGAGAGATTTTGAGGGTGACAGGAGTGGGTGAGCCAAGGAGGGGCACAAGTAGCTGGAGAGAAAACCGACGGTGGGTCCCTGTGCGCGTTTCTTTCGCGGTGCCAGGAGCCGTTGCTGGAATTACAGGAGCCTGCCTGCTGGGGCTGAGGATGGATGGGGGGGGAGGGCAGAGAGGAAGTGAGGAAACCCAGGAGGAGGGTCCACAGGACGGGGAGTGGGGGCTGGGACTCAGTGGTCTCAGGGGTGTGGGGCGGAATAGGGGGTGAGGCTTTCTTGACAGAGCTTGGTGATGGACGGGATATGGGGGGAGAGGGAGAGAGAAGAAGAAAGGATGATTCCCAGGTTTTGACCTGGACAGCGGGGAAGGTGGGGCCACTCATGGTTGGGAGAAGCCTGGGGTGGGTCAGGTGTGGGGAGTGTGGACGTCAGTCCCTGCAACATGAGCCGGGGGTATTTTGAGGCCCCCACAAGAGCTGTCAATGGGCAGCAGGACAGGTGAGCCTGGAGCGGAGCAGAGAGGTGAGGCTGGAAAGAGAATCTAGGAATCCTGGGAATGTGGTGGGTTCATGGCCCTGAAGCTGGGAGAGGGCACGGAGTGGGTGGGGCAAAGCCCCGGCTGAGGGGCCATAGAGGGAGGGAATCTGTGTGCAGTAGGAGCGAGTCGGGAGAGATGGGCTGTCGGCAGAGGAAGTGTGTGTCTTAAGTGGGTGGACTGCCCACTAGCGGCTTACGTCTGGCCAGTCTCTCAGGAGAAATAGCAGTTTTGTTTGGGTTGGGTTTGGTGGCAATTGGTGGTTAGAGGAGCAGGACTTCTGTCTGTCCAGGGGACTTCACACCTCTCAAAGGCCCACTTGGCTCCTACAGCAGCCCGGTGGGAAGGGCAGGGCTTCTGCTTCCATTTACAGATCAGGAGCCTGAGGCACCAAAAGGGAGAGTGGAGATCTCCTAGTCCACGGCTCTTTTCAGAAGGTTCTAGACTTCTCTGAGACTTTTACTTATCCTCGGCTTTGCCCTCCACAGCCGCAGACCGCCCCGTGGGACTTCCTCCTCCAGGCCTTCAACACCAGATAGGCCTGGGACATTCCGGGGGTCACCTTCAAAGGCCATGCTCTCTTTGTGGGGACGGCCTCTAGCATCTTCATGGGAATCCGTAGCCCAGGCAGAAAGCTCTGGCCAAGCTCCTGTACAGACCCCTCCCTGCGGGGCCTGACCTGGTGGTAAACCCTAGAGAAACGTTGGAGCAGCAGCGGGGACGAAGGGAAGCTGGCTCTACAACCATCCGGGGTCAAGAGTCCTGAGGGGTCTGGCGGGTGTGTCCTCGGCCATGTCCCCTGGAGCCAGGCGCCACCCCGAGCCTGTCTCCAGCCTGCCCTACAAGGCCAGCAGAGGCGCGCTCCGTGAGGACCTGACGCTGTTACGAGCACTCTATGAAACTGACACATTGGGACTCTACAGCTAATATATTTTTCTGCCAAAAGCACCCAATAAAATGTACAGCTAATGAATAAAATCGCAACATTGCCAAGAAGCAATGTGTGCCCCAAATTTCCAAAAATACCTCAATCACTCTGTGTCTTAAAACCAGCCCCAAGCCAGGAAGTCGTTACTTAAATTCAACTCGGGAGTTTCAGCAGTAGAAACTCCAGGCCCTGGGACGGAATCTGTGTTAAAGACACAAACGATGGCACTGCTGCCTCTGTGTTTCCTAATCCCAAACCCAGTCTCCTTGCACCTTGGAGGGCTGGGACTTCCTCCTAACTGTTTCCAGGAGACCGAGAAGCACAAGGCCCAGAGTGGAGGCTCCCGGGAAGGGGACCTCCGTGTTGGGCATGTTCCTGATTTGGAAGGAGCAGTGGTGGATCTGGAATCCCTAAGTCAGGGCTATAGATGTGGGGTCCATGGACCCCTGGATCTGTGAACTCCTGAATGCAGTTTTGATGTGCCTTGGGGCGTTTCTTGAAGCTGGGAATGGAGCATCCACATCCACGGCATTCATCAAATTCTCAAGAGGCCTTAAACCCAGAAAAGGAACCAGCCTTACCTCTTAGCCTCCTAGGAATGAACACCCTGTGTTCAGAAAGGCTGCTCTGCCCTTCGGAGACCCAGAAAACTGAAGCTGGATGCCAGCTGAACAACAAGTTTGGGAACAGTGAGGATAGAGGGCAGAAGTCAGCCTAACTCAACTCTTCAAACATGAAATGAGCACCAGTCATTGCCAGGCACTGTGACAGCCCTGGGGCACTGTCCCTGACAGACGAAGACCCAAACCTGATCTCCATCTTTCTGTGGTAGAGGTACAGGGGGTGAGGTATCAGGGAACGCTCCTCGGAGGAGGAGGCAAGGCCTGTGCCTGTCCTCAAACAGTAGGTGGAGGCTGGTTGTGCAGAAATGGGGCTGGGCCCTGAAGGAAGGGCGGAGCTGCCTAAGACAAGAGCATTCCAGGAGCTCTAGCACAGGAACTCCAGGCTTGGGGGCTTCAGTGCACAGTGAAGGCGGCCCTTTGCTCCCTGCGGCCCTGCTGCCCTCCCACCGCCGTGGCCGCCTGGGCCTTTTCCAGGCGCTCAGTGGGGCAGTGGGACGGGAAGCCACAGGCCTTTCATCTCCCAGGTGTCTGCCATCCCAGCTCCTTCCCGCAGGGCCGGGCTCTTGCTCCAGGGGCTGGGATCAGAGGAAGCCCTGGGTGGCCGGCTGGCCCCCGCAGCCCTTTGATCCTTCCTCCATCCTGCTCAGCGGCTGGCGCTGCCTCCGGGCCAGGCACAGACTCAGGCAGGAGGCCCCAGCCCAGAGGCAGCCCCGGGGCAGCCAGCCTGCTCGTCTGCAGGAAGAGCGCAGATCTGCAGGAAGAGCGCAGGGCCAGGACCCAGGTGTCCCACTCCTCCTCTCCCCAGCACCCCATCCGTGCGGTGAGCATAGCAGATCCACCCAACCCACCCACCTCTTGGGCGTATTGCAAGGATGAAATGAAATACGAAGTGGGAAAGCGCTCAGACCAAGCAAAAAGAGGCCACAGATGTCTTGGCAGGACCTGGATTTGGAGTCAGAACCCTGGCTTCCAGCCTAGGCTCTGTCCCTCGCCAGGCACACAGTTTTGGGTGAGTCACAGCTTCACCGTGCTTCAGTCCCCTCACTGCAGACGGAGGGCGCCCAGCCCTGCCCAGCCCACCTCCCCGGCCTGTGCGGGCACCAAATGAGATAATGGCTGGAAAGTGCTTTGAAAAGAATGAAGTGCCGCGCTGATGTCAGGGATTATCATTATTATTAAGGAGCATGATTACCGCGATCCAGAAAAGCTGCCATTAACGAGAAAGCTCCTGTTCGTGTTGATTTAATTTCCTGGTTAACTGAGCGTTGGCAAGAAAAAAACTCTATGTTTCAACTCTTATTGAAATCTTTTTAAATTATGCCAGTCTGCTTTCTTGCGCCGGTCATGGTGTAGTCTTGGGTCTTTATTTATGACTCCCTTGATTGATTCACATATTCATTGATTACTCTTGCTCTGACCACATCCAGAAAGACTGCAGACCCAGCCTGCTCCAGGCCTGGGGCCCTCAGGCCCACCCGGGACTCATGGTCGGGCCTCAAGGGGGAAAAGCAGAGGAGACAGGTCTGGGAAAAGCTCGGATGGGGCCTTCTGAGTGGCTTTTTTCATAGTTCCCTGGAGCATCCTGACATATTGTCATATGTTTCCTTACAGTTCAAGAAATACCTTCTGACTGGGGTAGAAGGTTTTTCTGGGATTATCCAGATGCACTATAAAGTGACATGATTGCTTTTCTAATAAACTTGTCAGGCCTGACGTGGCCAAATAAATGGCTTCATCTTCTGGGAGCCACGGAAAGCCACGGAAGGTCCACGCTCTTTGCAGCCGAGCTGCTGCCCCCACCAAGGCCCCTCAGCGTGATGCTACCAGGGCTGGTGGTGGGCAGAAAGGGACAGAAGACATTCAGAATTGAATCTGATGGGAAGAGTCTGACCCATGTCACTAGAACCATTTGGGGACAAAACAGGTGCCTTTGACGTCTTCACACAGAGAGTTCTTTCTGTCTTAAGCCCCAAGGAGGCGTTTCCAGAGGCTTTGAGCGACAGCTCCTCCTGGGGGCTGCTGGAAGGAACGTGTTGATGGGGCTGTTTATACAGGGAGAGGACCACAGGCTGGGGCAGAAGGGCATCTGGCCCTTAGAAATGGGGAGCGTTAGTCTCTGGGGACTCCATTTCCCCGTGGGAAGGAGAAGGTGAGATGCCCGTGTCGGGCATCCGGCGAGCTGTGATGAGGACATGCGTGTAAACACGGTGCAGAGGCCAGTGCTCCCGCGGCAGCTGTCGGCGTGAGATCTGGAATGTGGGGCTATAGTTACATTTGACCTCGTGTGGGGTCCTTAGTTACACATGCATCAGCCCATGTGGTTCTCAGCTGGGGGTGATTTTGCCCCCAGGGGACAATAGGCAGTATCAGGAGACATTTCTAGTTGTCCCAGCTGAGGAGGGGGCGGGGTTTAATCACATCTAGTGAGTGGAGGCCAGGGATGCTGTCAGAGGACAGAACAGCTCCCACAACAGAGAATTAGCTGCTTCCAAATGTCGGTGAGGACAAGGTTGAGAAAGCCCGGGATGGGGACACTTGGCCTGTCTGTACCTGCTGGGAGATGACCTTGGACGAGCTCTGTGCACCCTCATGCTGCCAGTCTCTGTGCTCTCCCCGCAGAACCCCGACATCGTCCTGGTGCACTACCTGAACGTGCCCGCCATCGAGGACTGTGGCAAGCCCTGCGGCCCGGTCCTCTGCTCCATCAACACCGACAAGAAGGAGTGGGCGAAGTGGACCAAGGAGGAGCTCATTGGGCAGCTGAAACCCATGTGTGAGTAGCCTTGGCCTGCCGGGCCCAGGGTCCTGCACTGGGTCCCAGGCCAGCATCCTCCAGGCAGGGCCAGAAAGGTCCTCCACGGCCTTGGGGACCCAGGTGTGGGAGCCCCATTCTGCCGGGACCATAGCGACCAGTGAACTTGGCTTTTCTAAGGATCACTCCCGTCTCTACCTCACTTGATGCTCATCAGCTCCCTGCACAATAGCCAGGGCACAGAATGGCAGACCCACATTATAGGCAAGAAAAGTGAAGTTCAGAGGCTCAGAGCCACGTAAACAAGGAGCCGGGGACCAAGAGTGCCAGGGACCACTGCCTCATGAGCCACAGACAGGAGAACAATGGCAGCCCAGGGAGAGAGCGGCCTGCAGGACCCAGGAGAGGCCGGCCTGAGCTGGCCTGCCTCCTGCCCTCAGCCCATCTGCTCCTGGACATGGGGCCTGCCTCGGCTCCCGGACTGGGCAGCACATGGATGACGGTGATTGAGCGGGATCTCATTTTGTCAGCAGTGGTGCTCTCTGGAGCATCCGTCAGGTGCGAAACACTGAGTGAGTCCAGAAAGCCAGCGCCTCACTTCCACAGCCGTGGCTCCAGCAGCCTCTTCTGCTGCCTGGATGGGTGGGCTCAGGAAGAACAGACTCGGGTCTGCCAGACCTGAGAAGAGCGAGGGGGCCGTCCAGTGCTGGACACAGGCCCTGGGTTCTGAAACGTTGATCTCTGAGGCTTAGGCAAAGACCTGTCATCACACAGGACCGCGGGACTTGGGGGCTGCAGGCGAGAAGCCGTTGGGCACCATATACAGGCAGCAAATGAAATGTCCTTTCCTGGGGGCCCCGAGTGTCCTGTCACTGGGAGTGTCTGAGCTGAAGCCAGGCAGCCCCTGCAGTGACCAGCTAATCCTGAGATCCCTCCTCAGTGTTCACGTGGGAGAATTCCCCCCACCTGCCTCAAGATTGGGGGTGGGCGTCAGGAGGGACAGAGGGGTCTGTCTGGGAAGGGAGGCCCCCAGGAGGCCGACGGCCCTGCCCACCCGAGGGGGCTGGACCCCAAGGCTGATCTCACTGCCATGCCATCCTCCTGAACCAGATGCCTGTGGGGAGGTTCCCCAGCTTGGCCTTGCTGCTGCTACTGCTGCCAGGAATCTAGAACCAGGCGGCCTAGGGGCCTTCCGGGCTCAGGCTGTGTCCAGCAGAATCCTCCTTAACCGCCACTCAGACCATATCCCTCCCTGTTAAACCACCCCGTGCCCTGGGATGGACAGAGCAGAAGGTCCTGGGCGTTCCGGCAGAGCCTCCAGCTCCGGGCCCCGCGCCCCACCCTGCTGGGGCTCTGTGCCATGCGGTTCCTGTGCCAGAGCCGCCTTCTCTCTTCCCGCTGCCTGGCACTCTCCTGTCTTCATCTGCTCACCCCACCTCATCCGTCTGCTTTCAGCCTAAATACTGCCTCTTCCATAGGTCCCCCAACCACACAGCTGGGGTTCGCGCCCCAGCGCTGGGCCTCCCTGAGACCCCCAGGGAGACATCAGCCTGAAGTCAGCCTCCCATGCTTAACCCGAAGGGCCACGCAAGCCTCTTCAAAACTCTGCAGAGCACCCAAAACTTGGCAGACATTACAGCTAATCCCCACGCATCTTCCTTGCCTGCTGCCATTCCTCGGGGCCCTGCACAGTGCTGGGCTCATGGAAGGCCCTCTGTAAAGATTTGTGAGATGACTGAGTGGAAACTGACTGGATCCAGCTCTGGTCCACGCCCCACAGGAGCCTGCACCCTGGGAGCCCAGGCTGCTCAGTGGCACCCCTCCAAGGCCAGGCCAGGGGGCCCAGGGAGCACGGCAGTGGTGCCAGGGGTTCTGCTCTCAGGCCAGCCTGCCCACCCCTTCTGATTCAGTCCCCAGGTGGTGTCTAATGTGCAGGGCTTGTCCTTGACATTGGGTTTCCTCCCCCAGGGCCTGCTCACACTTCTTCTTCGGCAGAGCCTTGGCTGGGCTGGAGCGATGGCTCTGATGACGGTGGGCACTGATGCCACCTGGCCAGAGCAGTTGAGTCAGAGCTAGAAAGTCAGGAGGTGGCACACATCCTCGTTCTGTGACCACTCCATTGTGTGACCTCACGCCAATCGCCCAGCCTCCAGTTCCCTTTCTGGAAAGTGAGCGAAAGAATTCAGCAGTCTCTGCACCAAGACCAACAGGCTCCCAGCCAAGCTCAGCCGGCCCAGCTCGGCTTCTGGGCCTCTGCAGACCTGGGTCCCAGGAGCCGAGGCCGCTATTTCATCCCACTTCCTGGGAGGTCCTGGAGATGGAGTTAGCCAGAGATTAGCCAAGGGGATGTTCCCAAGGGAAGAGATGCCCTTCAAGGCAGCACCGTGGTCAGAGGCCTCCAGCCTGGGCCCTCCCAAACGCCACTCAGCACACAACCCTCTTCCTGTCAGCCAGCCCATCGCCGTCTCCCCATCCCTTCCCCATCCCTTTATTTGACCTGCTTCCTTTTTCTCTCCTTATTGCCTCCACCTCCCTACAATGCCCCCGATCCTCCGAGTGGCCCTGCCCAGGAAAACTCGCCCTCCCCTCGCAGGAGGCTGCACAGGTCAGACAGGAATGCCGCCTCCCAACAGGCAAGGAGATTGAGCTCTGTGAACCGCAGGGGGTGGAAACCAGACCTGAGTCGGCTCCTGATGCTTGACTGGAGGGAACTGTGAATGCCTGTTCAGAAGGCTGCAGTGTATCAGGAAAATTATGTAAAACTACAACAAACTCCCCATAAATCTAATAACACTTGGCTCTCGGGTGCCTGGGGGCGGGGAGCAGAGCAGCGCACAGTTCCTCTGAGTGTGCATGTGTGTGCATGGCTCTGGTTACAGATGCACAGCCTGGAAACGCAGCCCTGGAAATACAGCTCCATAAGAGGTTTAGATGCCAATCAGGCTTGAAACACACAGAGGGCACCAGCTAACTGTGTTCAGGGAAAACAGAGGTGTGCTGGGAGCCAAGAAGGCATCAGATTTGGTTCCAGAATCAGGCGTGCCACACGATGCTGGAGCCAAACACATTAGCTTCATCACATTTCACATAAATCACATTCCTTCAAAGACTTCACAGTTTGATTTCCTGATGTTTCCAAATTTCTCTGCCCTACAGCAGAGTTGTCAGCGGTTTAATCAAAATGTTGTGCTTATCGGTGGTGAAGTGAAACTCTGATCCGCAGCCTTCACCTCACCTGTTGGAAGATGGAGGGTTCATTGTTCTCGCACCTTGGGAATCTCACAAACACTGGCTTCTGAGCCAGACTGAACTCTGAGAATCCCACCTTTATTCTTGCAATTGTGCCATTTGGTCCCATGGGGGCTTCCTTCCTGCTGGCTGCTCTGCCATTCCTAGGGTATGGCCCTCTTTTATGTGGTCTAAGATGGCAGCTCCAACTCCTGCCATCGAGACTGCATTCCAACAAGTGGAAAGGAGAGAAGAGAAAGTAGAGTGTAAGCTCCTTCCTGAAGGAAAGGGCCCAGAATTTGCACACACTTCCACTCATATGTCATTGGCCAGAATTTGGTTATATGGTCACCCCTAGTTGCAAAGGGGTCTGGGAAGTGTAGTCTTTTGCTAAGCGCTACCGTTCTAACATACTTTGGGGAATGGGTTCTGCGTGCGAGTCATTCAGGGCTGAGCAGAGCTGAGCTCAGCCCCTAGCGTGACCTCAATTGAGAATTGCTCAGCTCAAGGCCAGAGAATGATTGCCCCGGGTCCCATTTGAGGGTTCAGGTCAGCACGATCTAAAGCTGAGTGTGTCTCATCCTGGACATTCTTTTCCAGTGCAGCTAGTCTGAGAGAGCACCAGTTTTGGACCCTGCAAACTGCCCCAGTGTGAGTGAGGGGCTGGGCAGGTCAACTCTGAGTGGCGAAGAGCTCCAGGCGGGTTTGTGCCTCAGCTCTGCCAGCCTGGGGGAAACTCGCTCCGCCATCTCTGGCTGCCCAGAACCACGGGGGTTCGGAACCACCGCCCCAGACCTTCCATCCCAGCTCTATTCGAGCCTGCAGGGAGCCAGACGGAGCCAGCTCCCATGGAGTGGGGCCTCTTCTCTGAGGGCCCATGGCTGTCTCTGCCCAGCCCCATTCCTTGGCAGCCTGGGAGGGGACGGTCATGCCAGCACATCTGAGAAGCAGTCGGTGAGGTCATGCGTCCAGAGTCAGGGATGAGGGCCTGGGTTTTAAGCTGTGTTCACAGCCCTTCCCCAGGAGGTGAGCTTGCCCCAGCTGTCCTGCCCCTGGCTCCTCGTGGAGCACCCTGGCTTCAGATGGCCCTGCATCGCTGAGCAAGACCTGGCCCTTCCTGCAGGCCTCTGTGCCCTAGACATCAGCAGGCGGCTCCAGCCGCCACCTCTGGGCCTGTCTCTGCTCCCACTGCCCTCCCCCAAGCCCTGCTGTTGTTTCTCAGATGTCCTCGGCAGTTCTGGTAGGCAAAGCAGGGGGACTGGCTGTGAAGCCTGCACAACCCCAAGCCCACACCCACACGTGTGCTTCCGCGCGTATGCCCATGCACACCTGCCCACAGCACCCACACGCACAGCACAAGGGGCCGTGCTAGTTTCCTGGCACCTCCACCCCAACACTCTCCAAAAGCCGCCTCACCTCCGTGCCTGGGAGTGGAGACCAGCAGCGCTCAGGTGGGGAGGCAGGCACCACTGGGCCAGAACAGCGCCTGCCGGTCCCCGAAAAAGTGGGTAATGGGCTCATGCGGCAGTCAGGGCAAGGGGGAAGGTGTGCAGAGGGACTTCCAGGAGTCAACTGCCCTGGGAACGTGAGCACGGGAGGCACAGGCCTGCGGTGGATCCCAGCACTTCCTCTGACTAGCTGGGTGGCTGCGCACAAGTCACCTGACCTCTCTGAGCCTGACCGTCCTACTTCAGAGAGGGAGAGATAATGGGCCTTACCTGTGGCCCCGTGGCCCTGTGGCTGTCCAATGACATCTGGACATGAGCTACGTAGCTGTCAGGACGGCAGCCACT